TCCCCTCCACCACCCTCACCAGTTTGATTCATGACTTACAACACGCCTACACAACCGCCCAGTGACCCACACGCCTTCGGCAGTAGAAAGGCCCACGGCGAGGATCACGGATGAAACGAAGTGGAGAGTCTCCACTCGAACATATGCCCAACCACAGACTTGCCAACACCTGACTGAGGTGCCCACTGGCAGGACACGCAGCAAGAGGCCCTCACTAACACCCCATCCATGCCTCCTCTCCCAATGCCTCCTCTGTAACTCAGCAGCACTGTCCACAGGACTTGGTTAACAGGGTTTCCGTTCAGTTAGCAAACTACTGCATGCAGCCGTTTCAAAAGTCAGGCTCCCCTTCGGAGAGGAAGCTGTATCAGAGACCTTCCTCCCTATGGTCGGTGCCCATCACTACCAGCCCTGGCACTGTGTCCCTCTGGTCTAATTGGTAAGCAGACGGCTGCAACTCTCTCTTGTGTGGCTTCCTCTGCCGCACCTCTTGCAGCTTCCAGTAGTGATGATTTTGGCCCCCAAACATAAGGGCTACAGCTGACCAGGAAAAAACAATCTGCGAGAGGGCTGTGTGGGCAGCGTCTGATCTCATATAAAAGCACAGAAAGGAAAAAACCCAACAGGACCCAGAACCAGCCCAGACCTCGACCCCCTCCTCTAGTTCCATTACTCTTGCCCCCTATCAATACAGAGCAGTGGGGCTGGACGGGACCTCTGGAGGTCATTTAGTCCTACCCACTGCTTGAGGCAGGATCCTCCTTATGCAAACCATCCTGCACAAATGCGTGTCTAACCTGTTACTGAAACAACAGGATCAACCTTGTGTCACAACCACAAGGCCAAGCACCTTGACCTGCCATAGGAGACCATGGCAGACAGGGTCTTATGGCTGTGAGAGCTGTAAGAATACACTTTTGAGATCCAAGGAAGAGGGTTGTGGCTTTCCTACAGAGGAAGGCAAAAACCCCATGGTCCGTACCAGTCTGATCATGCAAGAAAATTCCTTCCTGACCTCAAATGTGGCCATTAGTTGGACCCTGAGCAGAAGGACGAGACCCTCAAGCCAGCAACCTCCAGGTTTTAGTCCCAGCAGGAGCACTGGTGCACCCAGTGAAAATCCCCAGCCTAGGCTTCAGCCAACACCTAACGCTTTTGAGGAAGATGGAGGGAAAAAAAAAACCTTCCCTGTTATGTAGCAACAGGAGGGGGAAAAATTCCTTCCTGGCCCATGTATCAACCTGCAAGCCTGGGAACTACCCATAGCACAGCATAGACATAGCTACCCTGGCACTGCAGACTTCTCTGCCCTTCATGTCCAGGGTTTTCAGCACTGGATTCAGCACATCCAGATGTGAAACAATTCTCAGTGTCTGGGAGTTCACGACAGAGACTCTACTGGGTGGCTGCTACCTCTCCCCACTACGGCTGTATGCCTTTTAGCAGGACTTGGTAATGCGCCTCGTAGCCTCGAGCTTTGGCTTCTGTAAAAGGTGTTTAAAGCGTTCTTAATTTTTCAAACCATAAATTTCTGCAAAATCCTGAACCCGATGCTCACAGGCCACTAAGCAGCAATGGAAGCAGGGGAACAAATGGGGAGTTTGTTGGGAAAATGCTTGTTTGTAACAGCTCGTAAAATGCGGAGGCTGCCCATAACCCTCTACAAGTTGGTTAATGCAGCAGAATATGTAGTGTGGGATTTTAACAAGTGCTGCCTGGCACTGAGCGGTGGAACTCGGGAGAAGGAGCTGATGCCTGTAATTAGGCATTTGCCTAATAAATCATCTTGTTATAACAAGAAGAATAATTGAGCAAAACCTGCAGGAGAGATTGCCCTAAATGTGTAATCTCCTAGCTTGTAAGAGAAAGTCCCTATATACCCCAGAAGGAAACCAGTTCTACTACAAACCCGGCACTTGTCCCGTCAGACAGGTGGCAATGCTGTGACCCTCATGGCTTTCTTGGGAGAAGGACTGCTAATCCTACTACACTGGGCAGTAGTTATGCGCACAGAGGCAAAGTGACTTGCCCAAGGTCCCCCTGTGAGTCAGTGGCAGGATGAGCCCTTGCTAATAACCATTCAACACCATTTCTCCCATTCACATTTCTTTCTGTTTGTCCATCCACCTCTGCTGGTTTTTGTCTGTTCCCTTCATCAAGGCACCAGTCAACTCTGCCTAGTTGCTTAAGTGAAATATGTTGCCTTTGGCCAAGTTATGGACTGGTTAGACAAATGTTTCCCCTAGGAGCAGCTAGAAGGAGGACCCTTATGACAAAGTGTGAGCAGGGTCCTAGGAATGAGGTGTCTTGGGTTGTATTCACTAGTTCTGCTGGCCAGCTGCTGCATGATCTTGAGGAAACTCCTCCCGTTGCCTGTGCCTCAGTTTCCCCATTTGCGAGAGCAGGGTCATGATACTGGCTTTCCTCACTGATAGGGGTTTGACGGTTTAATTTCTTCATTTCTCTTAAGCTCTTTGATCTCAGAGACCTGGAGAGAGTGCAGAAGCACCAGGTATGATAACAGCAGTGTGATAACTTGGGAGAAGCGGTAGGGAAAGACTGCAATGAAAGGCATGTGAGCACTGGGGGGGTGGCCTGTCTAGTGGAGGGTTCGGCCAAACCACAACTGCAGCACGTGGCACCCAGAACATGAATGACAAAGGGTGCTGAAGACCAGGACTGAATGACATGGAAGTAGCAGTGTGAGGTGTCTCAGGCCTCTGAGAGCAGCGGGTATGCATGAGCCAGGACTGGCAGGCCTGTGCGGAGAGATCCCAGGATCTCCACTAAGGCAAAGGGAGCTTTTTATCTCCGTGTATGAGAGAGGGGCAGGTGTCTGCGATGCCGGGGGACCAGTGAGGACACATCTGTAGTGCTCTGTGCCCAGCTGACGCAGGGCAGCTTGTTACCATAATTACTCTAAGGAGCAAGGGAGGGGACCAGCGCCATTGCACCCAGCCAGCTCTGCCAGGACCTGCCCCCTCTCTTCCCCCAACTGCCCCCACTCACCGAGGTGTTCTGGCACTGCACGCTGGAGCTGTTGAACCTCAAGGCGGGCACCCGCTGCTCGAGGCCCTGGATATTCAGGATGCACTCGTAGCCCCGCTGTCCCGACTGAGGTTGTGGCAGGTTCTTGGCTTTCAGCGTGATGGGCTTGATCACTTCCACAGGCACCAGGATCTTGTCTGCCTTGAGCAACTGGGGACAGTCCTGGGGGAGAAGAGAAAACATGTCCAGGCAGTTAGTAGGATCTCAGCACCCTCTGCTCTGGAGCAAGCATCCCATCCAACTCCCCCCCTGCTCTACCGCAGCCTCGGTCTGCAAGGAGTGGAAGAAGCTCCCTGGGGAGCTCCTTGGTGCCCAGTCCTTACAGCAGTTGGCATCAGGTGTCTGTGGAGAGCTGAGAAACTGTGGATGGCTCACCCCTGAGGCACTCGCTAAGGCCAAACACAGAGCACAACCCCTCTGCCAGGCATTGAACAGCTCCTCATGACTGGAGGGCCCTTGTGCTTAAGCGGGGAAGAAAAACCCCTTGTATAATGCTGGCAGATCCTTGACAAAGATGGTCTGGGATCAAAGGAGCAATGTGAGTGTGAGACCTGCTTCAAAGAAGAACCTGGGGCAGCACATTACAGGTGTGATGTTGAATCGATCTCGCTCAAGTGCTGCAACCGTGGGAGTGTGGAGGGACACTCAGCATGGGCCTAACCTTAGCTACACCCAAAGGACCTGATCCATAACCTGGAGGAGCATCTACACACAGCTACATCAGTGTAACATCACTTCTCAGCTCAGCCAGTGCAGTTTCTGTATGGAGACCAGGCCGGGGTGATTGATAGCAGAGGTCTCCATTTTCCTCTGCACTGCCCTCTCTCCATTACACCCTGTGGAGCAGGTAGCCCATTGCCATTTCCTTCTGCTTGGCTCGTTTCTCCAGCCGGCACCTGACTGCATTTGCTATCTGGGTGTGATACATGGGGGCGGAGGCAGGTGAGCCGTGGGTGTCTGCAGGACACTGCACAGGAGACACGTGTCAGTGCAGGAAGGCAAAGATGAGGAGAAAGCCTGATGGCAGGCAGGGGAGCAAGAGGAGGAATGGAAGGCTTGAGGGTGAAATTCACAGCCGGAGAGAGTCCAGGGGCTGGTTACAGCAGATGGAGGAAGCATCTTACAGAAGCAAATAGCTTAGTAAAATAAAACAGTGGATTAGATGTGTAACATCTGCACTTACGCCAGACAGGAATGGAATTACAAAGGCCATCGATCATTGGGCTGGTCAGGGAGAAATCCCAGCCCCCTCCTCCACCACGCAGGGCAGGATAGCACAGTGGGTTCCCCCCCTTCTTCCCTGAAGCCACCGGAGCTGGTCATTGCTGAAGCGGGGAGCCGGGATGAGACGGCCTACTGCAATGTCCTGCCTTGGGTGCTCATGTGAGCTAACATGGAAAGGGTGGGATGGGAGCCCCGGAGTAGCTGCGACCAACAGATGAAGTAACACTGATGCCCCAGTCACTGAGATGCCAGCACAGCCCAGGAGAGCAGCCTGCCTCAGTGGGCACCTGCTGAACCATAGCCAAGAGGTGGCAAGGACCGGCCCTCCAGCAGCATGAGCCCTCCTTCCCCTTAGGAAGCACCATCACAAGTGAGTGCAGCTGCCCATTTACTGGGGGGAACACCTTTACCCCACTCTGGTGGCACTAAAGGATAGCAACGCTGCCTTGGCCCAGTTAGTGTAGCCCTGCACCACCATCCTTGCATCTGCCAAAGCAGATGTGGCCAGATGGGGAAAGGAGCATAGGCAATGTAAACTTTCCCTGTAGCACTGCCTAGCTGACATCTGGCTGCTTTGGTACATGAAGCTAAGCCCATATCTACAGAGCAATTTGGGAGGCCTGTATATTAACGGGGACACAGCAGAGCTGACTGCTCTGATTACTGCTAGACACTTGCCCTCACTAAGTTTGCACCCACTTGGCTGGATGTAACACTCTTATTCCCATTAAGGATTTGGTGACAGAGAGTAGTAGAAATGAGATGATGTGTAAGAGCAGCACGAACAAAACTGCACACTTAAGGAATGTCTTGGAGCTAATCTGCAACTGAGGAGGAGAAAGACCTGAGTACACTAGTCACACACTGGAGGACTTTGAGTCGCTTGGATGTGGGCGCTGCACGGAAGGGAAAAGTGACCCTGGGTTGCCCCAGGTGAGGAGTCTGCATCCTGTCCATGCCTGTTTAGGAAGTATGCATTCAAACTTGACAAGGAACAGAAAAAGCCTCCTAGGAGGAGCAGAGGTGGGGGCAGAGGAGAACCTGTCTTACAAAGACAGACTAAAAGAGCTTGGCTTTGCAAAGCAAAGGATGCGAGAGCAGATCTGATCACTGCCTGAAGTACTTCAAGGGGTGAACTGCCAAGGAGGGAGGATGGCATTTTCAGTTCAAGGACAATACTGGCACAGGACAAAAAAATGGGTATAAAGTAGCCTTGAATACATTTTGGCTAGAAATTAGGAAGTTTCTAGCCAACAGAGGAAGGATGTTCTGCAACAGCTTTCTAATAAGAACAGCAACCCCTCCTCCCCACCCAAAAAAACCTCACTAATTTGAAGACGGAGCAGGGTCAAAGCATGAATAGGACACAGAATATGACACGGTTGCCAATGATGAACGATTGCCAACCAGAGCAAGAAGCCTCCCGTTCTTGTGTCATATGGTCCAGGGCTCTCAAGTAGCTCCTGACCTCATGAGTAGCCCCAGGGTTTAAGTTGCTACTGAATGAGGCCAGACAGCAGAATCCAAACCCATGTTTATGAACATGAGACCCCAATGCGATGCTGCAGCCGGCAAAGCAAATACAGCTCTGCCTTGCATCTACCATTGCATGTCAAGCAAGACCCAAGAAGTCATCCTCCCACTTTACTCGGCCTTAGTGAGACCGCGATTGGAGGTATGCTCTGGACACCTTTAAAAAAACGCTTGGATGCTTATCTTGCTGGGGTGATCTGACCCCAGCTGACTTCCTGCCCCTTGGGCAGGGGGCTGGACCCGATGATCTCACGAAGTCCCTTCCAGCCCTAAAGTCTATGAATCTTGTTTAGACTGATGGAAGAGCAGTGGTGGAAGCAGGTGGAATGGGGACAAGGTGGCCTCTACAGTGAGCTGCTCCCAGCCTGGGTCAGTCTTGCAAAGGTGAGACATTGGGATCTGCACGGGCTTCACATCCCTCCTGGGCTCATGTCTGAACCAAAAAAACCTCAAATAGAAATGGAGTCATAATCCTGTGATGCTGCCACATTCCCAGAGAGCATCGGAGATGTGCACAACATTTTTGTGGCCTTATTGCAAAGTCCTCTGCAGGCCCCAAGTGAGAGCTGACCAATTGAGCAGGTCTTTTGGTGACTACGATGTCAGAGCTTAATGTCTTTATGGGGACCAAATGTCCAGCGAGTCCTCGCCAGGTCAATTCTGACTTGGATGCAACCCTTGCTGCTCATCCCTCCCCATGGCTAGTGACTGCTGAAAAGCAAGACGTCTCCCTGCCCCACTGATATTAGGAACATCAGCCAGGGTCAGACGCTTCCTGAGTTTCTAGTAGACCCCATCCTGATGCATGTTTCTCAGAGGCATCTCCTCTCTCTTCCAGCAGAGAAACCCACCCAGCAACATCATCTCCTTCCAGCCAGAGGGGTGGGATATCCCTATCTGCCTTTGAGCAGCCATTTCTCCGGAGCGAAGGGTTCTCTTAATATATAGCAGCTATAAAAGCTGAAGAACCAAGCCGGAGGATGAAAGAAGAAGATATGAAACTCTGCTACCTGAGGGGCAATCCAAGCCCAGAAAGCTGGTTTTCCTAGTCTCTCTTTATTCCTGTCTCCCCCCACCAGTGCTGTAACCTTTCCGATAACACTTGTTTCGAGTTCATTAACAAGCGGGGATTGCAGCGGCCCCAATAAAGGCCTCGTTTGCATATAAAAAGCTTTGCGGCTCTGTTAGGAAGTTCATTATAGATAATTGAAGAGGCGAGCACCATAAAGAGGAAATCCTCACAATGTGGCTTTATCTGATTGACCTAATGTTCTTTCTAATTGAAATTTTTAAAAGGCAATTTCTTTGGATGATGTACCAAGGAAAGCTGCGGTCCTTAGCCCGGGCCCTGGGTTTGAAACCGTGTTTGACACCTGCTTCCTAATATGGGTCTGGATGTAGCTAACTAACTCTGCCCCAGGAGGAAATGGTGATGTGGTTGGCTGTGGTGCCTTGCTCAGGACTGTCCTATGAAAGGTAGGAGGTCTCGCTGCAAGGAAATAGGCCTGTTGGAGATTCAAGAGGAAGAAATATGAAGAGTGAAATACATGGTTTTCTATCATGGGGACTCTATATTGGCTTTTTCTTTGTGGCTTGCCTTAATCTGAAATCAGTGGGAAGGTATATCCTACCCTTTGTAAACCAGACATATACAAGACCCACCACGAATGAGTAATCCCACCCGTACTGACTTCCTTAATTAATCAGCGATTCACTCCTAGTTGGATCAGATTCCCAGACAGCTGAAAAACTGCATCTGACTCATGCAAGGACAATGCATTACAAAATGGGCGCTTATTAATTCATTTCACCTGCGTCGTTTAATCCTATCAGTTAGTGCAACACTGTACAGAGAGCTAATGAACATAAAGTCACCATACAGCTAATTCCCATGGTTGGCAAGAGACGCTCCCTGCAAATGGCTGCATTTTGCCAGTTTTCAAGTCGGTGAGCAGACACAATGGGAACAAGCAAAGGGGAAGCGGCCTGCAAAGGGCCCTGCTCGTTTTGTCAACGGCACTTTAATTTTCATTATTTATAACCCCGTGCAGTATTTTAGTGGATGTGCTTTGCTGCGGCTTGAAGAAATATTGAAGTCTTGGTAACAAGAGGCTTTTAGCTCCCTGCCTAATCGTGTCTGAATGCCCTTTCCACCCGAGCTCCTATTAAGATCATTGAAAGGTGTGGAGGGGCCTCCAGTTTTGGGAACACAATGACCCAGCCAGCATGGGCCTGTTGTGGGGTTGCACAGACCATCATGAAGTTTTAAGGCCTCACCCACGATGCTGTCCCACCAGAGGTAGGATCTGGCCAGGAACTCAGAGTTGACAACCTTCTTCTTATGAAAACCATCTGGGCTCTTCGATGGCTGCCAATGGTCAGGACCTTGGCTTGAGTCCCATTTC